ATTTTTGCCAAGATTTTTTTAGATTTATTGAACAAGTTATTATTGAAAAGGGGGAATGTAAGGAAACTAGAAAAATTGCAAGTGTTATTAGATGGGCTATTACTATTTTGGCTATTTTTAATATTGGTTCTGTATTTGTGTAAACGTTGTTTAATTATGGAATATTCTGAAATTTTTTATTTGAAAGTAAAAATGATGTATCAAGCAAATTATTAATCATGTTTTTCTTTTAAGAGATATGATGATTTGATGGAAAATTTAGGAATCTGCCTGATTACGTAGGTTTGGAGAACCAATTTGTGATGATTATATTGTTACTGTCTATTATAATTGTGGTATCTACGAGGTTAATATATTTATTGTTTTGAATTTCATAGGTGAATTGAAGTTTTTCAGGGAAACTATTGAAAACATTTAAGGTAGCTCCTTGCGAAAACGTACGAAATTAAATATATTTCATTTAATAAATTTTGATTCACTGAATCCAACGGTGTTCTTGTTTATACCCCAAGTTGAGTAAAATCTCAGACACAAGCTTATATGGCAGAGCATCAAAATATCAGCTTTACAGGCATTTTCCAACTCACGATAAAAAACCTGAGCAGACAAATTATGATGTACTTGTAAAAAATCTCTATCCTCCTCAATCCTGTCATGCAAAATGCTGATAATGGGGCATTTTCCAACGATGTTTGCCCAGAAAGACGTGAAAATCAGATTCACGATTATAAATGACAGACGGTAGCAGAATACCAACACTGATGTACGTATATACGTATACATACACAAGTGAAACTCTCCTACTTGACTAGAGCAGTAGACAAGGGAGATACCTTAAGACTGTATGGATAGAATCAGATGGTACACATTAGATTGTATCATTAATGTATACATACAATAGAGTAATGGGTGCAATTAAAATTATTTTTAATAATATTTAAGCAGTGGTTCTCCAAGTCAGTCACGACCAAATCGGCAAAGAGAGGTAAAATGTGTGAGCCCATAGGCGTCTCATTAATCTGTTGGTAAAAGTTATTATTAAAACTGAAAAAAGTATTGTTAAATAAAAATTTCAGCCATAATAATTATAGTATTAAAAGGTAATTTATGTTTGAGTGATCTTAGTAAGTGTTCTTTCTACACTATTTGTGACAAGATTAAAGGAAACATTAGTAAATAATGATTTAAGATCCAATAACATAAGACAATAATTGCTTGGAACATGGAGATTTCTAATTTTATTCATAAATTCTTTACTGTTAGATACTCTTCAAATTGGAGGTTTTACTTCTCTATTAAGGTCGTTGTATACTAGTTAAGTGATATGTTGGACTATTGATAAGTGAGATTATGAGTCTTAATGGAATATCCGTATTGTGTACTTTTTGCAGACAGTACATTTTAGACAGTAGAGTGTTAGTCTGGGTAAGACTAACATTACTGTATTTTTTGCATAGTAAATTGTTCTCACTTAAATCTTTAAATATTGTGTAGACATCCTCTTGTAACGATTTTAGTAGACTCTTTTTTAGTTTTTTAGGGGTTCAATGGTCCTGTAGTAAATCATGTATTTTTTTGTTGTAATCAGATTTTTTTATTGCTACTGTAAGATAACTTTTGTCTGATATAGTAAAGAATATATCATTGTATTTGCAAAAGTTTATGGTTATTTTTATTTTTTTGGTTATAATTATGTCTTCTAACGAAATAGTTTGATATTTTTAGTGTTGTCCAACATAAAGTTGGAAAAATAAGTTCTAACTTCATCCTAACATTGGTCTGTAATTTTAAATACTCTAAACAAGATTCTGCAGTTTTGAAAATTCTAACACATTAATTCTTCGTTTCGACCTCTACTTACAATATCAACTACATCATTTGGTATTGCTTAATAACTATGGCATATATATGTCGTTAACGTTCTTCTGTATACATACATATGTAGATAAAATCAATGATAGCACATATTTGACAACTATTATTGCGATTTTAACTAAATGGTCTCATTTATTTCATTATTTTTAGTACAGTTTTTGGTGAAGTAAATTTCCGTTGAAAAATGAAAAAAAAAAAAAAAAAAAAAAACATGTGTTTTTCTAATCAACCTTCAATACTAAAAATGGGGAATTTGGGCACAAATGCTACAGGAAGGCAGGGTCCCACAAATAAATGTATACATGTATAGTTGTTTGTGTAAGGCATACCACACGAACTCAGTGGCCACTCCACCTAGCCCTAACGACCTCTGTAGAATTTTTCTTGGGTTTTACCGAAAAAAGCATGGAATCGAAAACAAGTCTTGGAATTAGCACGTGAATCAGTAATATTATAACCTTACTTGTAGATTTAACAGTGGCGATTGCTACATATGCATAAAATATTTGTTTATCAAAATCAAATATCAATTGTATTACAATTTTTAAATTAAGCTCATGCGGTGGTAAGCTTTCACTAATATTGTTTAGAAATTCAATTCGAAAATTTGTATAAATATCATAATCAGATTTATTAACACTTGTAAGTAGCATGATCCATGCTGTAATATGTTTTCGCTTCTCCTTTTGCATGATTTAGAATTTTATTATTCAAAAAGTATATTTGTTATGAGAAGTAAGCATAACGCAATTTACGAAAAAGTTAATATTTTAACCAAAAATATCGTAACAAAAATCAGTTGTTTTTATTTCAAAACTTTAATAACCATGCACATTACTAATCAGTGCATCGAATCACACGATTCTTTATTAAAGTTAGAACATTAGAAGGTTAGCAAAAAAAAAAAACGTGCACGAGAGGTAAGTCCTACCAGTGCATACATACTGCTTTAACTGAGAATAAGAGTCTTGTAATATCGAATTTCTTAGTGTGTAAGAATTAGTACCAGAAACGTTATTCTCTCCTGTTTGTCCCACTCCAATGATGAACTTCCAGTCCCCTGTACGTCACACAACGCCAATACACCACACCACACTGCACAGTGTCATGACACCACACTACAGCACATTTTTCTTTTTTAGTTGTATGTTTTTTTCAAAAATTTGGAAATTAGTATGTATTAACAGAGCAGCTTTTGTATGTATTATTCAACATTTATTTACTTACTATTAATTAGTTACTTTTAAAATAAATAAATAATTGTTAATACAGTTTTTTCCTATTTTTTCAAAATTTTTCTAAAAAAAAAAAAAATTTGGTACTGTACAAATACAATAATTGATTTTGTCGCGTTTTTTTTCACAATTTTGTCTTTGTGACTGAGGTGATTTTTTTTTAATTTAAGGACGTTTCTCACATAGTAAATAGGGGAAAAGTTTAGCTTAAAATTTAGAGAGGTGGGAGGAGCACAAATTTATGCAGCAACGGTGAAAATTATTTCTCTCATGTAAATGTACTTACATACACGTTTTTATGCACACTTAACCTTTTCTTTTTAAGAGAAAAAAAAAAAGTCAGAGAATTATATTTATTGAAATTACATCAACTTAAAAATGAAACAAGTTTATTTTAAAGTTATCTTTTATACAAACAAAAATTGAAAGGTTTAAATAGATCTTACAAATGCAATTTCAAGTGGGTTTTCCGTAAAATTACTTGTTAAATTTCAAACTTTTAAAAAATTTGAACATGTGAAAAAGGGTACAGTTGAACGATCTACGATTTTTTTAGGGTATTTTTTATGGTATTTTTAGTAAACTTTTGATGCTTAAATAATACCTGTCAAAAAAATCTATGTGTGATGAAGGTCCTGAAGGGACATTCACTGGCACGTACTACTATGCTATTAAAGAAAGCGGTCCTACAGGACGGTTTGTCTTCATTATCGATGTACAATTTAATTTTGGGTATTAAATATGGACTAGGAATAAGTGCGTGAGCGTATGTAATAAATGTGAGAGTGATGTTACAGATGTAATCGGCGTAGGTGGTAGTTGTTTTTAAACCATCGGAAGATTCGATGAAAGTGTATACTCTTGTACTGGACAGCTTGAAGAATACCTCTATATTGTTTGTGTTGTATTATGCCATAATATATTGTTTATTATTGTTCAGTTATTAAATATTAGAATATTTATTAAAACCACACCCAACTAACGTAGGTATACTGATTTCACTGATAATTGTATCACCTTTGTTAACAATATTGTTTCATAGAAGGTATATTTATATTCATATTTCTATTGTCTGCCATATAATTTTATAGAAGTATACCTTCTTACTTGAGTACCCAAGCATCTACTGTCTACTGGTTTACATTAAAATTTATAGTAATTTTAAATAACATAATTTATCGTATTAACTTATTTCTTATTTCGCATACATAATTTTTATACTTTCATTATATTCGTCTCTATCGTATGAATACTGTAATTTTTAATTATCTGTTTCGTACATGCTCAATTCGCATACATAATTTTTATACTTTCATTACATTCGTCTCTATCCTATAAATACTGTAATTTTTAATGATCTGTTTCGTACATGCTTAAAAAGTCAAAAAAATTTTTTTACTATGTTTTGCCTTAAAGCAATGGTATAAGTTTTAGTTATTTCCATAGATATATTGAGAAATTTCACTAACATTCTATAGACCCTTCCAGCTTTGTTTTAAATGTGATAAAAAAGCACTTGCAAAATCAAAGCAATAAGTAAATACTTGCAAAAACTATAGTCAACAACAAATTTTTCATAACGAAATTTCGACAAAAAAGATAAAATGTATAGAAGTACTGCTATAAAAAACATAAAAATTGTTTTTTTACAAATCTTTAACGTTTTATTAAAAATTCTTATTAAATAAAGTACGAGAAGCAACATTCTTCAACCGATATATTTCCGAAAAGAGTCGTGCCATAATGCTACCTTTGTAATTGAGAAATTTTTTGCGTGGTTTTTACTTTTAGAAAATATCTAAGGTAATTGTAGTAAAAATAATTAAAAAATGGTTTTACAGAATTGTATTCATGACTTAGACTAACATTGCATCTGTTTAACTTCCACAACTAGCCATAGAACTTTTTTCCAAGTAGTAGGAACACAACCATGGAATATACTGTTAATTCATCATACCTTAGGGTTTAATGTTGTAATTAAAAATTAAATATTGATATCCACTTCTACAATATACAACTGCCAAAACCATTGATACAAAGTAGAGATGTAAAATTGAAAACGTTCAATGTCCTAAAAAATTGAAAAACAAGAGATTTGCGCCAAAACGTTCCAACAAGATTTTTTTATAAACTAACAGCGATACGCTTATGAATACACTCACTTCTCAAATAAAAAGATTTTAAATCAAATGAGTGGAAACATAAAAACTCATAACAGCATAAATCATGCGATACATAAGGGCTTTGTTAAGGCTAATAATAATATTTATGTCAATTTTTGAATTGAAATACCAAAGTCTTTTCGAAAAAGCTTTACACATCATAAACTTCATTTAAAAGTTGGCGCAATAGTTATGGTAATCAATGATTTACGTATATCAGATGGTTTGTACAGCAGTACAACGTTCAAACTAACTAAATTGTTGAATTACAATATTAGATTTTTTTTTTTACTTTACCAAACCTTTCAAATGATGTAACTTTTAGTGAAGTAAAAAAAATACTTATCAAATTATTTTATAACACTTCAAATTTTAAATAGTTAATGAAAATTAAATATCGTTCATTTCATGTTCTTGTTAAACTATTAATACTAAGTTCTTCATAACAATTATGATAGTAGATTTCTACTCAACTTATGATGTACTACTACGAGGCGTTTATAAATTTCTTAAATGGAGATAAGTACTATCATTTACTAAATTTTATTTAAGATTGTTAGCTTCACATGAAACTTTATTAAAGTACGTTATCTGACTTTTATTGAATGTCATCAGGTAACATTTATGGTTACTATGAATAAACGTACGCAAGTTTTTTATGTTATGGCGACAGTAGAAAATTGTGGCGCCTGGCTATGGGAAGGGTTACCTTTTTGACTTTGATCCGCTTGACAAAGATTTTTATAATTTCTTAATTCAATAAAAGGAATTTCCAAAATATATTGTTTTAATGAATCAAATACAAATTAAAAAGTAAGTTTATTTAGACACATAGAAAAAAATGAAAAATTGTCCTTTAAAAATACATTTTCATTTATTATTGTAACAAAACAGACTTGTTAATAAATGTTACTAATTATGTACACTATTTTGGTGCATTTTAAAATTATTTATTTTAGACAGAGATTTTCCACATCAACGAGTACATTTTATATTCTTCTCATGTAATACCAGATGGCGATAAAACTATGGTAGAACATCCAATGATTATTGACAAATATTACATTTCTTAATTAGAAATATTTTTTTGTTTTTTATTGTTAAAATGTAATGCTTTTATTTTTACTATAATCTGGAATTCATTACTTTTAAGATAATTTTTGTTATAAATTTTTTTTTGTGATATTTCAACAAACCTTTCCCTCCACGAGTCGTAGAACAGTCTTTATATTTTAACAGGTTAATAGATCTGGAAGAAAATTTTGTCAAATAATGAATTTTATAAAATAAACAGTATGCTCAAATACGTAGACCGTTATTTAAAAAAATATAATTTCACTGCATGTTTTTATCTATTGTACATATAGTACTTATTAATTTATAATTTTTTTAAATCTTTATTTTAAACTTATTCGAATATTTTTGATTTCACTGCCTTTTACTTTTTGTTGGACCAGTTAAAAGATAAAAAACTTTTAATGTAGCATATAAACTTTGTTATTAAAGTGATATTGACATGAATTACTTTTGACAACTGAAAATGCGCAGTATTTAATACTACTTATATGTAAGTGATTTTAAATATTTTCTATTTAATCCCACTTGATCATCTACTTGATTTACTATGTAAGTATTAAAATAAAAGTGGTTTTACGTTTGACAATGAAGGGTTCCTAGTATTAAATATCAAGGTAATAAAATATTTAATACTTTACGTTATCACTCAAACAATTTAAAATAACAATCTTTCAGATAAAATAGACCTATAAAGTTAGTTATTAAAGTTATAAAATAAATAGTTCTCTTGGCAAAAACGAAAAAAAAACAAGGTTCAGCGTAAATTTCATTACTGATATTTTACTTACATCTATCACTGATTGTTGTTACTGCTGCTTTGGAGTTCCCTAATGCTTCGTGCTGTAACCGTCAGTGTTTCCTTAAACTACACGAACGAGTTTGTGGTCAGTAGGATGTTGCGTTTTCTGCTTTCTTTGCTATCGCGGGAATCACTTTCGGCGGGCCTCCTTTGCTGTACATCGCTCCTTGGCGTAGTCTGATACTATTGATGTTCTCGATACACACTCGAGTTGCCTCAGCCAACACGTTATGCCTTGCGTGTATAAGGTACTCACGAGTCGCGAGAGTCACGATTTGCCTAAAACTAACTGTTATTTCTTGAATCGAATAACTGCTCTTTATTTTTGTTTGTATTGTTTACTTGGTCTTGTACGGAGCGTCAAAAAGTAGATTGAAATTTTGATTTTATTGTAGTTAAGGTGGCTCCTCACTATAAATCCCACAAGAAGAGTAAGCATACTGCAACACAGCTTTTCATTGGCTGTGGAGGTTCTTGACTAAAAATGGATAGGTACCTATAGTCCCTTCAAAAAAGTTTAGTCACATCTACACCGTTGACCTCTTCGGTGTAGCAGACGCCCCACACTTTTCATCTGTTCCGTGACTTGCACAGTTATCTACTATTTTTACAAAATATCCTATAAAACCCATGGTAATGTCCAAGTACCTGAATGTCGTTGGAAAGATTCTGATTTCTTCTATCTGATACATAGTTTTCTATTAAGAACTACAGTATCTTTGCTGAGATATCATACAACCTGCGCCACCAATTTGACGACCCTCCATAAGAGGCTATGTTACAGAGTCTATTTTCCAGTTAGTTTTTTTCAACAATTTTGGTGGTGACGAGGTCTAAAATTTTGGGAAAAGACTCCTTGCACCTTCAAAAATCATCCTTTAAAATATCATTTAATACTCCAGTGTTTTGATTTAGTGAGGAGCCACCTTAAATTTAAAGTTTCTCTATCAGAAGAAGTAGAGTCTTCATCTTGTTGAAATGTTAAAGATTTTTGATTAACGTCATTGGCTTGGGATGTACTGGGTTTGATTAGAATATTAGTTCGTCTTGGTAAAAAACCTGAATTTTTTTCGATTATTTCTTGAATTTCACTGATTTCCGAATTTTCGTTACTTGAGTTTTCCATTATGTTCTGAGAGGTCTCTTCTTCAAGTGCATTTATTGAGTTTAGCAGAAATAATCGTTCTTCTAATGGTATTGGCGCGTTGGATTGTGGGTCACTAAACTGTGAAGTAGAAGCGGTGTCGGGTTCGGATGACGAGTCTTGTATTTGAGCTCTTGATGTTTCTTTTCTTCGTCTCGCTTTCAATTTTTCCGCTATTGTAGGTGCATTTAATTCACCCTGTCCGCCTTCCAAACCCTGAGGTACTTTTAATATTATATCTCTAGGTTTATTTTTTCTTATTTTAGGTACTAATTGTATTCTTTCAATGGTATCGGAATAAGATTGATTGGTTTTTGACATATTTTGGCGAGCTGTCGAAGTTTTAGTTTGTTTATGTTTTATAGGTAGCAAACGAGCTTTTAATGATATTTCTTGGTCCGAAGAATTATCTTTAACACTTTCGTCTTCATTCCATTCTATGAGATTTCTCGATAAGGCGTCCGCGTTTGTATTTAGTCTACCAGGTTTGTACTTATAAGTATAGCTATAACCTCGAAGTCTTGCTAACAGACGCAAGCTAACACAGGTGCTTTGCATAATATTCTCCTTAACTCTTTAAAGCTTTTTTGCTGAGTATATGACCACTCAAATTTCTTTCCTTTTCTTAACAAGGACGTTAAAGGCTCTGCAATTTCTGCAAAATTTTTGACAAAACGACGGTAATANGTGCTTTGCATAATATTCTCCTTAACTCTTTAAAGCTTTTTTGCTGAGTATATGACCACTCAAATTTCTTTCCTTTCCTTAACAAGGACGTTAAAGGCTCTGCAATTTCTGCAAAATTTTTGACAAAACGACGGTAATACTTCGCTAATTCTAAAAACTGTCTAACATTCGTTTGATTTTTTAATTTCAGAAATTTTTTGACAGCTTCTAATTTGTTTGAATCTGGTTTGACTCCATAGCTTCCTATTTTATGTCTTAAATAAGTTGCTTCCGGCATTAATAATTCACATTTGTCAAGTTGTAATTTTAATTTTGATTTCGAAAGTTTTTCAAATAAATGAGTAAATTTTGTCATGATCTTTTAAAGTTTTTGAACATACTATCATGTCATCAAGAAATATAAATAGCTTAATGCCTTGGAGTCCTAATAAAATTACGTCTATTAGTTGTTGAAATGTTGCAGGTGCATTGCATAGTCCAAATGGCGTTCCTACATATTCATAATGACCGTTAGGTGTGCTAAAAGCAGTTTTATGTCTATCTGCAGGATCAACTTCTATTTGATGGAATCCACTGACTAGATCAAAAACGGAGAAATAATTTGAGTCTCCGATTTGCTCTAATATTTCAGTTATGTTTGATAGTGGATAAGCATCAGGGATGGTTTTTTCATTTAGTTTACGGTAATCTATCATTAATCTGTATCTTTTTGTTTCATCAGATTATTGTTTCTTGGTTACTATCCACAGAGGACTACTGTAAGGGCTGTTTGATTTTATGATTGTACCGTCTGCTCATAATTTTTCTATTTGAGTTTTAATTTCTTGGTGTAATGATAAGGGGTAGCGGTATTGTTTGACATATACAGGGCGGTCGTCTGTCGTAGGTATTGTATGTGTCATAATAAAAGTACGAGGAGCCGGGACGCCTGGAATGTAAAATAAGTGAGCGTATTTTTCTACAATTTTTCTTATTTTTAATAAACTAAAAACAAAGTGTATTTGACTAAAAAAAGATCATGTTGAAAATTTTTTTTTTGGATTATCCGAAAAATATCGCTCTATCTTTTTCTAAGGACTTATTGAACCTCCCTCGTATAATATGTACAATACAATTGCATTAGCAAACATCGTAATATTTTTGTGTATCTGTGTTTTGTACAGTAATTTGTATTATAAAGTGATTCATCGTATCTATATTTATTGATTTTATGACTGCTAATAAGATACTACTGTGCAACGTTTATTATTTTTTTAATTGAACTCTTCGATATCCTAAAAGAAACTTCATTGACGGTAGTTTTTGACATAGTAAGTAACTCGTAAAATATATTATTCTGCAATATAAAAGAGCTTAGACTATAATACCAAGGTGTTGAAGCATACGTTTAACACAAACAAATTTTTTCGGTGACTAACAATTCAAGAATACAAAACATGTGGACAAGGGAGAAAATAAAAAGTATATATTTTCAAGTAAAAAAACGATACTTTACAAACTAAGGTGAAAAACCAATGGAAAAAGTGTCACATACGCATATCGATTGAGGAACAACTATCAAATACATCAACACAGTCTTATATACAAACATGTATTGTGTATAAAAGAAATAGGTAATTACGAAGGTCATGAATGTAAATACGAAAAAAAGCTCTACTGTTGTAATTTTTTGTTTTTACTAGTTTTAAAACTAGTACAATACTAATAGTAAAATAATAATAAAACTAGTATAATGATAGTATTAATAAGAAGTAAAAAAAAAAAAATTACACATATTAATATATGTTTAATTCTTTGTCCTTGATGGCGTAGAAAAATAAGGAAATCACATGTATCCCACATTTATTTATTAATTATAACAAAACACATTAATTCTAGGTAACTGTGGTAATAGGGATACATATAATTTTCTTATTTATCTACATCATCAAGTTTACGCAACTTGATTATTTTTTCGCCAACTAATTGCGAAAAACTTTTTAGTGTTCTTAGCACACTTTACGCACAGAAAATATTTTTGACACGTCACTTCTTAATAATTGGCAATACAGAATCCACAGTACATATTGAAAAATCACGTTTAGTGTCTAATAAACATTTAAATTTGAAAAAAAAAAAAAAAAATTAATACGAAAAGATATTGTAAATATTGTGTTTAACATGCTTTTGAAAAGTATGACACTATTGACTACGAGCATATCTCAGATGGCACCGCCAATGCCGGAGTGTCAATTTTTCTAGCATGAAAGTAGTGGATCTTATGGGAACGGTTTTATTTAAATTAACTACAATTCCATTTTTATGTGGTAGTTTATGGAACTGGTACTTCTTACACGATATTGGAATAGTTTATTCGAAAAAAAATATTCAAGAGAAAATAAATCGGCAGAAGAACAAGAAAATAAGAATCACGGGGCTCTTCAGGTAAACAGCATGTATCGACTATACCGATGTATATGGTACATTTGATGAGCTGACTAACCTTGCCTGGCTAGTATGTGATTAATCTCGACTATGTTACGAAGAGAATGTAGTAATCACTCCAAAATAATTTGAATTCGATAAAGTATTCTAATGTAGTGTAAGAAGTATCGATTCCAGAAATTACTACATAAAAATAGAATTGTAATCAATTAAAATAGTACCGTTCCCATAAGATCCAATGCTTCTATGCTGGCAAAATTGGTACTGAGCTCCGGCATTGGCGGCATCACCTGAGATGTGCTCGTAGTCAATATTTAATCTCTTGTATTTTTCTGTATGTTTTATCACGTTTGTTAACAGTTCTATGAGCTTAAACTTTCATTTTGTAATAAAAATATAAATTATATTTTAAGACTCAATTTGATGTATTACATTTTAATGAATATTTATTTCATCACCACAGGTACAACTTATAGTAAAAAGAGTCTAGTAAATAATTTTACCTTTATAATAATTTTTACTACGTACACTTTTTCTTTGATTACAATAAATTTACAAGTTATAATTTTACTAAGTCCGTCACCTGACATCGATAAAAATTAATAAGCCCTTACTCATAACGTCATACACGAAGTCGAAATAAAATTAGCAAAAACTAATTCATGTAACAAATTTACTGTTATTATTCTGGAAGATGCTAATATTTTTTTTGCAGCACTTGAAGCTACGCATTTACAATAAAATTTGTCAACAACGTCACAGAACATGATTCCACTGTGCACCCCCACTCTTGTTCCCTCTTCATTGCGTAGACTTTGTGAAATGCAAAGTTATTTTACACCAACAAATCTTGACCCTTTTTACTAAACATATGATACACAAGATGTGTTGTAAATATTAACACCGGAGCATAACTGACAACTCGCTATTGAAACTACATTTTCTGTAACTTCACCAATTTCGTAAAGTTTCCTGTGCCCTTTGCATTTTATTTTTAAGTATTAGATTTGTAACTGTTTCCATCATTTAAAAATAAATATAATATCGTACGCATGCATCTCCTAAGAGATTAGAAAATGTCAAACTCTGATAATATAAACAATCATGTCTCGTAATCACCAGGCACCATCGTACATAAAATTTAGCTAGTAGCGGGTGCAATTTGTACTTTTTTTATCTGATGGGCGTAATCGGTATTTTTCCTAAATAGTAATTTATTTTTATTGTACACTTTGAAAAAAGTTACTGCAAATTAATCTTGTCACTTTATTTATTTATTTATTTTTTTTTTTTTTGAGTCTCTGATCCGAAATTTAGACTCATATTAAGCTTATCCAAAACTTATGCAAAACTGTGAACCATTAAGTATTGACAGTAATAAGAAAAGTAAAAAAAAGGAATAAATAAAAAAAATAATAAAATTAAATTCCTAAACGGGTTTCTTGCTATATTATATATCAAGTATTTTTAGTTTTCCGGATTTCAAATATTATACTTAATACTGCTTTTTAGAAAATGTATGTAACGTTAACACTTTTTAAAATATAATAAGTATACAAAATTTTGTCACAGTAGATACTCCCTAGAAACATCTGTAAACAAGTAAAAGTTACGGTCTAACTGGCTGTTAGAAAACAGTTTTTGTTGAAAGATTTCAAAATAATTTAGAACAATTGTTATAATTGATCGTATTTTTAATTTGTAACAGAGTGGTAAAATTATTATGTAAGAAAAAAATTGTTTAAAAATGGACAGCAAAATTAGTTTTACAAGGGGTTGCCAAAACCAATGGATTATTAAAATGATTCTAATTTCAAAAAATTTTAAATGATCAACAATCTGATTCACAAGCCTTTAAATCCTGTTATTGTCAATCTTTTTACAACAGAAAATTATCATAAAAATATCAGTGTAACGTTTACACAGCAAAGTATTTTCCACAAGTCAACTCATTTGTGAGTCATAAGTCTAAACGCGTCGTATATAAATGTATTTGAAAACCGCTTCTCGCGACGACTTTAAGACAACTTAAGGGGGGAAATAACGTACACGAAGGAATGAGCACTCGCAAGTAATGTTAAAATAATATCTATCTATTCAAAAAGAATATGAAACGAAATACAAAAGATTATTCGCAGGTGTACGCGTGTGTGTGTGTACACGCCCGTCGAGTGCTGATGCTCGACAAACTCGCAGAGCGAAATCGCGGTACGGGCAGACTAAGTACGCGGGCTAACAAGGACCGCTGCTTTTTACAATAAACTGCCGGTTGGCAGGCGTCCCTGCTGACGAAAGCTGATGATCGCTCGGGGTCGTTCCTCACCTCTTCGACCTGGTGCCACTCGGTGTCTGGGGGTTTCCTGTGGCAGCTCACCGGCCCTGGTGAAATCCGCTCTTGCAGTGGTCACCGAATATCACGGGTTGTCGCAAACACCACCACAACGAGGAAGAACACTTCTCGCGTGACAACAACAAAACAAAACCGCTTCACGCGCGGTCGCAGGCCTAAGCTTATCTGCCGCTCTCTCGGCTTTTCCTTACTTTCCCCTCCTTTCCCTTACCTCTTTCCTACCTAGTCCCTTTAACTCTTTTCCCTCCTTTTTCCCTACTTCCCTACCTACCCTAGCCTACCAGTGATGGCTCGACCGTCTCTCACCGTCACACTGTATAAATTCAAGTTTCACAGTCCTAATCCTGTAACTTGAAAAAATGGTTGTTTTCAGTTGTTTTGTAATAGATTAAAAACAAAAGGTTTTAGCAAAAAAATCAAACGTTTCAGTTGTTTAGCAGGTAATTTTATTGTGGGATAAAAATTAAAAAATTGATTTTATAACGAAAAATACGAAAACACGCTACGATCGAGCCACCTGATACTTTTTTGTTACAGAATAAATTTTTTTACAATGAAAGCACGTAAAATTGAAAAAAATTTCCTTTGTTTCCAGACAAGCTTTACAACGGCGTTGCTTCTTGATTCCTACATCACGATCTTTATTGAAAATATTACGTACAAAGTAGATAATTTAGGTTTTGTGCGTTTTTAAATATGTTTTGGTACGTTTACAGTTGCTTTTAATTATTATACTGTCTTGCACGTTTCAAATCATAGTTAATTTATTAACACACAATTATCTAAGCTATATCTGTTTATTTTAATGTACATGACGAATACGCGAATAACAAAACATGACTGTAAAAGTCTCGTAAACAATAAAATAATTCTTGGATGCTTGAGCGTAGATTGAGCTGCTTCTTCTTTTTCTCTTTTTTTTCATCTTTCCATGAATAAATTAAACCGTCATGTTATTCTCCTTAAAGCTTACAGGCAAAACGTCTTCAAAGGCTGCTTATTCGTCAATTTTAAAAATAAGTTATTAGAGGAAGTTTTAATTGTTATATAAAACTCCCATACTCTTGATTAATAACTTTTACAAAGGCAATGTTGCACTACTGTAGCCTTAGTTAAAGGTAGCATGGCCACAAAACTAACGCTTTGTAGAAAGTCTTTTAAATAAAAAGGGTGAAACATACTTCGTCAATACTAACATACTTTGTAGCACGTTACACTGCGCAAATCAACTTCAAAACCGAACTGATCAATGAGGACGTTTTAGACGTCGGGTCATTTCAGTACTTTCATTTTTCTTTAAGTTTGCTGTTTTTTAAATATTTTTTAAATTATTTTATCTAATAAGTACAAAAAAGGTACTGGTTCTATTAAAAAGGTATCTACTGAAACTTGTCTCATTATAGTGACATAACGAAAATAATAATTTCAATTATTGGAATAACATGATGAAAATGGACACAAGAAGTCATTAACCTATTTTATACGAATTGTAATAATTGAGCATAAAAAGAACAGAAGATTTTTGAAAATTAAAGAGAAATAAAAACAATCATAGGTGACTCAGTAAATCAGGAAAAAAAATTAAAAACATGGAAAGGGGGGAGGCCAACTAAATCTGCTTTAGACCTATGTGCGGGATTACTAGCACAGTTTGAGCGCCTTTTGGTCCCTTAATCTGTTCCTTAAGTGATTCTCTGTGAATCTTTGTCTCATTTTAATACTACTAGAAATGCAGTTTTTCGCTCATATTTCAATAATTGGGGGTGAACCCTCTCTGAAAAAAATATACATTTTACAAGCACATACTATGAATATTTCGAGCAACGAGTAGTAAGGAGCAATCATAGTTTGGGCCTTCTCAAAAATTTGTCTTCATTTAATTTTCGGTTCTGAAAAATTCAAAAATTATGTTTTTACTTCAAAAGGTCAGAAAAAAACTTTGTAATAAGTCAAAATTTCTACCTTCATACCCTTTTTAAAAAAAATTATTGTGTGTATTTTTTGGATTTCATTTTCATGGTGAAAAAAGTTAATTTATAAGCAAAAAATCGGAAAATTTACCACTTTTGAAACATCTATTTTTAGCTTGAAAATAACGTCAACCGATTAAACACAAGAAATAAAATTTATTTCATACATAATTACATCATTTTAATACTTAGGATCTCAAAAATTACGTTTACGCTAAGAAAAATATAAAGTCTTTATTAAAAAGGCTCTGTAGCTCAAACAATTCAAATAAAAAGCTACCCATTTTAAAATCATAAAAACTTTAGGTATTCATTTATTTTGCTTTAAGATACATGTGTATATAAATCAACTACGCCCTTGCACGCTCCAAGCTCCAACCCCCAACACTTACTAAAAAAAAGGTTTTTTAATTTATTTTATGAAATAGTAATTTACGTAACACTTAAAATTTCGTATTGCTGCATGGTTTATGAATCGATACAAATCTTTATAAACAGTTTGAATTTTGTTAAGTTTTCATCAGTAAACCCAATGCATACAATAAGTAAAAATCTGAATATCTTCATCACACTCAGAATTATTGAAAGTGTTTTTGGCCCTACCAAGATATCACAAAGAAAACACTGAGAGATATACCATGGGGTCTATAAATCATGATAACTTGTTTAAGTATGTGTGAGTTACAATATTGTTCGACTTATCTTTTGATGAATTATTGTACAAATATCAAAATTTTTAGTCATTTTGGATTTTGATACTATTATTGCGACACATTTCATAGCCATTAACGTACGTTTTGCCTTTTTTACATTTTTTATTTTTATCATAAATCATCGGCTTAAAATTTTCCTAAATTAAAAACAACTTAAAAATTTGGTTTTAAATATTTAAATGATGTTTTTGATACGAGTGATACAAGATAATTATTGACTACTAATTTAATAAACAAAGTTTTGAGGCATATCATCATAGTGCATTTTAAACAATGCCAACGCCAAACGTATGTAAAATATTGAATTTGTTAGGCGTAAGAGGGGGTGTGCGGTAAAGAGGG